TTTCTTTCAGATTTGTCTAATTTATGGAAGGGTAGGAAGACTGACAAACATTCTTACACAGTGCTATCTACAGTACTCGGTGACTTCAAGTCCATGAGAGAGTTATCACTCTCAAAACTAGCTGTGCACGTAACTAAAAACGTTTGTCAGATATTCAGGAAAAGTCAGTAGGTGCTCAACAGGAGGGAGTTTAGAAAGATAACCCCTTAACCTTGTACCGAAAGCCAGTGCAAATTGTCAGACACTGTTTTTCCTGTTATCTTTTCAACAACGTCCTGTTTCACAACTGATTTTATTAAATAGTTCGGAGGTTTGAAATAGCCAAGAATTAAACTGTGGTTTATGTAACTATATGTAATGTTCCTTCAATGAGTCAATCTCAAAATTTCTGAGCATATTTAAGACAGAATGACCAAGTTTCTCTCTCTGCTTCTTACCGTTCTAAATTCTGCCACCTTCAGCAAACTCATCTATTTCAAGGAGAAATGTCAATTTTGCATGGTGCAAATTAACATAGTAAAAAAAAGTCTGAAATTCAAGATTTGCTACTAATAGCAAAATGTAAATAAAAGTAAGAATCAGCAAATTTCCTTTATAAAGACTAGAGCCATCTCTACCACTAGGCAGAAACTTCCAGAATTAGGAAATTCAACAGGCTTTCATACCGTCTCCATAGACTTGGTAGCAATACGCTTGGAGCAAAGCCTAGTCACAGAGTTCCTCTTTTTGGATCTTTTTAATACTACTGATATAAATACGAGAGATTTTTCTTTTTAACCCCTTTCACGCTAAAGATCATATGATTTTTTTTATTTTTTTTTTAAAGAAAATTCAAGCAAATAGATTGCCGGGCAAAATCAAGACAATATGCCACGCAGTTTTGGATAAACTCTGTTTTACCTACATACTTTAAGAGAAATCTTACTTACAATCACTCAGCATGGCAGAAGCCTTCTTTTCCTTTCCCCACTACGTTCCCTCAGCAAGGATATGTAGCTTCCTCTAAAAGTAATTGAGAGAACAGGATTTGACCAGATTGGTCCACTCTCTTCATGTAATTTAAATCACTAGAATTTTTCTTTTTCACATGCCCAAACAACCTCCATCTTGCATATTAAGAGAAATGAAAGTTTCATGGCCAAAAATTTGTGGGAAGTTTATGAGCTGAGGAACAGTACAGGGAAGGGAAAAATGTCTACCTCTGTGGAAGCCCTTCTTCTCCTTCCTATCAGCCACAGAAACGCAAAGAACATAAAAATGGTGTGAAAAGATGACAAGTGCAAAATCCTAAAGGTGGGAAAAGCTATCGAGTCTGATAAAATACTCTTTTCTCCTCACATGTCCTGAGTAGAATTTCTTACATCCCCTTTTCAAAGGGAGCTGTGTTTGACACTTGACAGACATCAAATGGCACGTCTTGCTTTTTTGGTATTAAAAAAGAAAAAAAGAAGAAGAAGAAAAAAAAAGATATACACATTTGGAAGCAATCCAATCCATTTCTACACCTTTATGCAGAGATTCCTGAAGATTAGGCAGATTACCTGAAGCATATCTCGTTCTCTGTAATCACTGGACTAACATCTGCTTTTCCAAATGCCCGTTCTTAACAAGCATCTTTCCAATTAAACAGCAGATGCAAAAGCACAACGTTCTTGCTAGACAGAGAAAAGACGTAAATCTTTAGAAAAAGGAAAAAAGGGGTCCTGCTTATGCCAGATATATTTAAAATACCAGTGATGATAAACCAAGAATATTAACTATTCAATTTACTGTACAGAAAAAAATGACAGAAAATAGTAATGAACACTGTTCGCTTTAAAAAAATGTACCATGGTGCTTCTGTAGAATACGGACCGTGGTTTCTCTGTCAAGTCAATAGATGTCAACCATTAGGTAACAGCAGAAAAGATCAAAAGGCAAAATTTCCTATGTTTTGGATTCCTTGATAACAACGTAGTGAGTCACATGCAGGAACTGGGGATAATCTTCTGCCTGCAAGTCATTCAGATGGATTGTACGACCCCTTGAGTTCTCTGCACTGCATTCAATGAATAAAGTTTCCTGGAATTTTGCTATCAACAGAGACATTTATGAAAACATATCTGGAGCTTGAAAGTCTGACGAAACACTAAGCTCTCCTCTACGCTGCCAGCACTAAGGTGTTCATGCTTGGAAATGTCAAGCATACTGCTTTAAACTCCGAATACTCAATTAAAGCTGTCACAATCAGAATGTATTCGAGTTACTTTTTTGCAAGATCACAGAATCATTTAGGTTGGAAAAGCCCTTTAAGATCATCAAGCCCAACCGTTCCCCTAACGCTGCCATCCCAAAGCACCTCATCTGCCTGGCTTTTAAATCCCCCCAGGGTATTCCCTTTCCGGGAAGAAATTTTCCCTAATGTCCAACCTAAACCTGCCCTGGCGCAATTTGAGGCCATTTCCCCTCGTCCCATCGCTCATTACTTGGGAGAATCTAACAACGTGTGATCACTAGCACTATTTTTTCCTTACACAACAGTTTTATTTCTTTAGCGTGACTTCCTTCAGCCTTTCCATCACGAGTCATTCTGAAACAACCTCCAGCAGGTTCATTTTCTGTCAATACCTGAACAAGCAATCAACATTACAGCAGACAAACCAAACAAATTCAACACAGGGATCTCCAAATGATGTAGAGCCGCTGCACAAACAGGTTTTTGTACCAAGGAGAAAAGTTCTGCAGCTTGAAAGAATTTTCAAGCTTTTCACGCTTTAATTTCACTCATTTTTTAGTTTTGCTTTTTTGCAAAAGAACAAACATCAAGGCCTGTGCTTCTATAAATAAGTCATGGTTTTATTTACCTCCCAATTCAGTAGGGTTTTGGGGTAACTTTCTTTAGCAGCAACAGCCTCAATCTTAGCTTCTCTCCCTACTGAAGTCATGAATATATTTTGAGTATTCTGTTGCTTTTCTGCTTCCATTTTTGTTAGGTCTTTTTCAACCAAGGTTCCTAGAGACGAATACAATGGTAACAGGGAAGCGGTACCAACAGTTTATAATATATTAATATTGTTGAATAAATACTTTCTCTACCCCTAAAACCACTGCTTTATAAAAAACACTGCTTCAAATTTAGGACGTTTTCAAAATACAACATAAAATTCAAATTTTAAACCTGCAACTGAAGTGATCACAAGTGGTTCTGTATTTACCATTATTCACTACAGAGTGATACGCTCTACGCTCACAAGGTTGGAAAGACTCGAGACAGCCAAGTGTCAGCCCCTGCAGCTGAATTCTATTCAGAAATCTTGTATATTGTGGATAAAGGTCATATTTCATAATTTTCACTACTAAAATTCCCTGGTTAAAATCAGTATCATATATGTCACACAGCATCTTGCTGTATTATCCAAGTTAAAAACAAATAAAGGAAACAACTAGATGTTTTTGCACTCTCTGCCAGACTTTATTCTTCAAAAATACGACGCAATTTTAAGAATGTGCGCGTGTAACCTGTTCCTATCAATATTAACTGGAGTTCTGAGCAGACTCAGAGTCCCCAAGAGACAGAAAACTCTTGCAGCACTACAGACTGAAGACAGGCTATCAAAAACAAATTATCTTCTCTGTGCCATGGTTTAAAACATAAATAGTAACCACCCTTTCCTGTCACTGAAGAAAAAAATACCAAGTTGGCATGCAAAGTATTTAATCTTAAGTTTTGAGAACACACAAAACTCTGCTCAGTAAGGCATGTGTGTTAATGGTTCCCGACAAAGCGGACAAACTCTAAACACTTAACTGATTTTACAAGCTGCGTAGCTTCTCCCAAAGCTGCGGCGTATGATTTCAGTCTTTAATTTCATACTGATGCACTCCATTTCCCAGCTTTAAGGCACAATGGGTCATTAATTAGCCTGACCTTCAGCATAATACAGGTCACTAATCCAATTACGTCTTTTAAATGTGAAAGACGAACATTTTAAGAAGTTCCAGAGAGTTATCGTATGCAACGGACCCTTACGGAAAGGGAAGTTACACTATTTTGAGAGACGTATTCACGAAGCGCTCAGCGCTCACTTCACAGCAAGGCTGGCAGCGCCGTGCTTCTGCTGTCACCCTCCAGTTCTTTGACTGCTTTATTTTCTTTTGGAAGAATGTTCTTATAGAAACATAAGCTTTATGAAGGCAAATATTAAAACTATGGCAATGTAAAGTTTCTGTTCTCAACAGAGTCAGTGCAGTGGTCTAGAGAAAAGTTCACTGAGGGTTAGGGTTGTTTTGGGTTGGTTGGGGGGTTTTTTAGGCTTTGTTAACTTTTTTCTAAACTGGCTATCAATAGAAATGCTTAGAGTGTTAAAATTTATCGGGACCACTTGCATTTAAATATCTTTACAAAATACTGGTACTCCATACATTGGAGATGTGCAGTTCACGGGTCAAAATAAATCATGCTTATTTTTACTTATCTAAATCAGGACATGCTGAAAATCACAGCAGACACAATGAAAACAAGACTGAACTTGGGGGTAAAAAAAAAAAAAAAAGGCAAGAAAAAAGGGAGTAAGTGCTAGATATTAACTACAGATCTGGCCTTAAAACAATTGCTATTTTTTGGCTTGAGATTCTTTTGAGAAAATTCTAATGGTATTATACATAAGTCCTATGTTGCAAAGTTTTCTTTCATACAAGTAAACCCTTTGAAATACAAAGGAAGAGCACACAACACGCCTGTCCAACACGGCCAGTATCACTTTTTACGCTGAGAACTTAAAAAGTGTAATTTCTGTTGCTATTAACAAAATGTCAGCTATAGCCACAGGATATTTCACCTGTTTCATTTAAGTATATCCCAGTTAGTTAATAATTCACTTACCCTCGTAAGCATTACAAACTTTCCCAACACAATGAGGCAAATCGAAACTTTCTTTACGTTATCCTCAGCTACTTAAAAAAAGCTCCGATCCAAGTATTTTTCAAGATCCTGCATTTTCTACAGCAACACTATTTTTTCTTATTCAAGAATGATTATTATAGATCTCAGATGTTAAATTTCTGCTGACTGCTGGCCTCTCTTCTCATAACTCACAGCAAAAACATTTGCTTGTAAGCAAAAAGACACACGCTCAGTTATTTTTTGGCTTTTAGCTGTTATACCCAAGGGAAATATCTACTGATGTGAACCACCTTGCTAGTATACATCAAAATAAAATATGTGCAAGTGATCTGTGGTCAAACCAATAGAGGCTGTTCTAAAATAAGTTAATGCCTCAATAGGCAGAATTTTTCACAAATACGGACTAGATGCCAACCTAAACATCTTGTATGGTAAGACCCCTGAAAAGTGTCCTACAGGAATGACTTTTTATCATTTGAATCAGAATTCCATAAAGCCTGACATTTCATCAGTGTCATTTCTCACAAGACAGAAAGTAAGAAAATTATTTTCATTTCTCCTCAATATGGAGAAAGCGTGGTATGCTATGAAACAGCAAAAAATACCATTTATCTCTTCCATTTAGGACTCAGGACAAATGGTTTTAAGACTGGAGTATTCTGACTCCGCTGAAAGGAAATGCCTCCCCAGCCCCCAAAATAAGATCAGCTGAGCTGCAACTGGAGTGTGACTTGGGACAGAGAACACTGATCTGAATTATGCTTAGCTTTTTCTGAACGGACAAAAAAATTCAGAACTTAAGGAAAGAAGAAATTAAGATTTTCATATTCCGTTTTTAACTGCATTAGAACTCAAGTTCAGTAACTGTTTCATCAAATACAGTTACTTCAAATGTTCACATCAGAGCAACAGATGCTTTTGAAGACTTTTTTTACATTATTTTACCTTTTAGACTTACATTAACTGGTGTCAAATGAATGTTTTCATATCTTTCAGTTTTCAGAAGCAGTAAGTAAAGTCTAATCGCCTATTTAAAAGCTGAGATTCTCCACATTAGGAAATGTTTTCAGCAGGAAACAAGAGTGTGGCATCATTTACCTGCAGTAACTCAAAGTAGTGCAAACAGTGATAGACCGGGATAAGCATGAGTCGTGGGAGGACGTATCGCACAGCTTCTTTAAACCCTTCAGCAGTAGACTGAAAAGGAAAAATAAACAGGATTACTTACACTGAAATACTCAAAATGGGACTGGACAAGGCCCTGAAGTTAGCACTGCTCTGAGCAAGATGGTTGTGCTAGACACATCCAGGGTGTCCCTTTCGATCGACGTTACTCTATGCTTACACCTAGTAGTAAGGAAGACAATAAAGTATGCAAAAACATTTTTGTCTAGTGAGGCTCTCTGTAAGATTCAGAGACGCATAAATGCTCTGACATCAAGGAAACGGAACCTGTGAACACCCTCTTCCAGGCACTGCAGCACCCTTCTCCATCAACGGCTTCGGGTGGGTTTTGATGCACGCTCACTAGCGAACCCAGAGCTCTGCAAACACCCCTAGCCCCCACAACAAACGCTGGCCCAGTCTGCCTCCTAAAAATGGTAACCAGGTGGACGGTCCATATTTTTGCCAGAAGTAGCAAATCAAATATAAGAAGCTAGAGGGCCGAATTACACGCATGTCATTTATAAGCGTCCTTTAATTCACGTAGAGGTGCTCACAGCGCAATCCCTAGCACCTTTGTATTTCAGCCCTTGCCTGCAGAACTCAATTAATAACATTAGTGCAGGGTGACAACGCCTAAGAATAATGCACTGTCTATAGCTAAGCCGCACGCCTTATTCCCCAGTCAGCAGCCGCATCCCAGAACGCAGAAAATGCTTGAATGTAGCTGGAAAAAAGCTCATACCCATTTCCGAACTAACACGCTTTCCCCTGGGCCACAGTTTGCTGCAGAATTTGAAGAAAACGCTGGAACGTTAAAGACCAGCCAGGACTCCCACACAACCTAATGAACTTGTCACCAACTTCTCTCTAATGTCCTCTCCTCCCAATTACGTATGCTGTGCTTCAATTTACGTCCAATATACCACAGAAATACAGAGGTCTCATCAAGTACTGAAGAAATTAATATTGGTATCTCCTCTCTCTCAGAAACTGAAGTTTATGACTTAGAAAATGGAGTTTGAAATCTTCTCCCATTCCCAGCAGTTAACTAACAGAATACTCCGGGTTGTAAGATGAGGAGAGGCTTTCCAAAGGACTGCGAAATCCCTGCCATCTTCCATGTCAAGATAACTATTGAACAGAAACTGAATTACCTCATCTCCTTTTGGGAGATGACCTCTCCCCGCCCCCCGTTTAAGACTTCTGGCTGCATCTCTCTGCAATTGCCAGAGGCAGCTCATGGCCCAGAGCGTGGACCTCCGCCTTCACTCCATGGCTTGGAGAAGAAGCGTGAAGGAACATCCCTGTGAAAGCCCAAACCTTTCTATGGTGACGAGAGTCAGAAAGGAGGTCAGATTCACTGTCAAATGACTCAATTATCAATTTAATCTGGAATAGGGCTTTGGGCTTTCAGTTTGATAGGGAGGTAGGTAAAGGGCCTTATTTCATTCACCAAGTAATATTTAAGAGTGAGATGATTCAGCTTACCAAGTGCTCAGAGCCGAAGGGGAACCACTCGCCCTGAAGGAATCTCAGCTTGCAGAGACCCGGGGCCCCCAGTAAAATGGACAAACTAAACTCTGCTATCATGGGTTTAGCTGAGAGCACCACTGACCCACCACTGGCTCAGCAGCCTCTCTAAGTGCGTTTCTGAACATAAGCTCAGTCTTCTGAACAGTAGTCTTTAATAGATCTGCCACGAAAATTTAAAAAAATCACAGATAATCTTGCTGGATAGTCCTATTAAAGAAATAATTCAAGAAAAAATGCCAGTCCCAGCCTCAATGCCAAACAAGGGGGCCTGGGATACAAGGAAGAAAATAAAAATATTGTGCTTGGGTGCCTGTGTTTGGCTTTAAAAGGCAAAACAGAAATAGGAGTGGCAGGTATGAGAAGTCACCTTCTGTTCTCAAGGAAGAGTCTGATGTGAGGACAAAAAAAAAAACCAAACACAAAACCTCAAAAAGACTCATGGGTGGGTCAGAGCTATGTCCAGTTCTTACAGGAAGAAGCAGAGTCCAAGTATCTTATACCGAGGTCAGAATCTAGAGGATTTCTTCCTCAGC